CTCACTTGGCAGGACGGTAGTACCTCCCTGGGCGGTTGCTGTCTACCAACCTACTACCTAGGATATATATATATATATATATACATATATATATATATATATATATATATATATATATATATATATATATATATATATATATATGCACTAGAGGTGGACCCCAATACTATTTCCTTTTAAGTATTACTTTTAAGACTATTACTTAATACTATTACTATTATTATTGTCATTATTAACCAAGAAAGAATATTCCTGGCTAATGATAACTTTAGTCCCGATATTACTACTGGTAGTTTACTATTACTACTGCTAGTAATACTATTAGTAGTTACTAATACCGCTGACAACACTACTACTACTACGTTTGGTAAAATGATTAGTAACATTGCTATTAGTAACACAGTAACACAAGTAGCCTTAATTAAGAACAGAAACACATAACACAATGGTAGATGTAATAAGCATAAGACTCACCTCGCTGTGTTGCAAGGTCACTCGCCTGGCTGTGTTGCAAGGTCACTCACCTCGCTGTGTTGCAAGGTCACTCACCTGGTTGTGTTGCAAGGTCACTCACCTCGCTGTGTTGCAAGGTCACTCGCCTGGTTGTGTTGCAAGGTCACTCACCTCGTTGTGTTGCAAGGTCACTCGCCTGGCTGTGTTGCAAGGTCACTCACCTCGCTGTGTTGCAAGGTCACTCGCCTGGTTGTGTTGCAAGGTCACTCGCCTGGTTGTGTTGCAAGGTCACTCACCTCGCTGTGTTGCAAGGTCACTCGCCTGGTTGTGTTGCAAGGTCACTCACCTCGCTGTGTTGCAAGGTCACTCGCCTGGCTGTGTTGCAAGGTCACTCACCTCGCTGTGTTGCAAGGTCACTCACCTGGTTGTGTTGCAAGTTCACTCATCTGGTTGTGTTGCAAGGTCACTCACCTGGTTGTGTTGCAAGGTCACTCGCCTGGTTGTGTTGCAAGGTCACTCACCTGGTTGTGTTGCAAGGTCACTCACCTGGTTGTGTTGCAAGGTCACTCACCTGGTTGTGTTGCAAAGGTCACTCGCCTGGTTGTGTTGCAAGGTCACTCACCTGGCTGTGTTGCAAGGTCACTCACATGGTTGTATTGCAAGGTCACTCACCTGGCTGTGTTGCAAGGTCACTCACCTGGTGTTGCAAGGTCACTCACCTGGTTGTGTTGAAAGATCACTCACCTGGCTGTGTTGCAAGGTCACTCACCTGGCTGTGTTGCAAGGTCACTCACCTTGTTGTGTTTCAAGGTCACTCACCTGGTTGTGTTGCGAGGTCACTCACATGGTTGTGTTGCAAGGTCACTCTCCTTGTTGAGAATTTTTGGCCTTACCTGCTGTGTTTAATTTATTATAAATATAAACACTTAGCTGATAAATGACAGCAAATCGTCTACACAGCCGCCCCTGCAGACGAGGTCTAGAAGCTGTCGAAACCATCACAACAGTGGGCTGTCAAGAGATACAATTTGTAAGTATAAATTACCCCTAGGGGGTGTTATGTCAGCATATTTCATTCGATGATGGCTGACGAAATACTTACTTGTTTGGACTCAAAAGTCCACACCTTACTGCCGATTATAGGTTGATTACAAACTCCTTGTGACTCAAGAATTGCGCAATCCCCCGATCTACAAGAAATTCGTAACATACCTTGCTCTTTGTAACGTGAGCTATGGTGTTCTCAACACCTTCGACAGATATCGGTGACTTGATAGAAGCTGAAGTGTCCTTGGATGTCCGCGTCTTCCATTGTCTAGGAAACGCACACTGGTACACTATGTTCCACAAGATTTGTCTTTATTGTTCACAATGTATCACAAGAGAAGCTGATCACACTTCTCTTAAGAGTTTATTGTGTTTTGTGAGACACTTTATTCACACTAACGCACAGATCAGTGTCCTTTGCTGGTTATCCTGGCGTCAGTGTCTCGTAGTAGAGTCAAAGTTAGTCTGCCAGATGCTACAGCGCTCCATCCCGTCACTGCCCCCAGCACAAAAAAAAAACGCTGACCTAGTACCTTGCATCCTTGTCACCTCCTCGATGAAGCAAAGCAGAATGTTTGTTTCTTGCTGTCTTAATCATAGACAACAATGTACACTAGTTTTACTATGGTAATAAAGTGGGAGCAGGATTTTCCTTAATTGTCCTGCTAAGTAAGAGATGTACTGTCTCTTATAAAAATACACGTTGCAACACCGCTGCAAGGAGCAGAGGTCATTTGACTACGTGGCATAGCATCTGTGATCAATTACTCACTCTAGCAGTAAACAAGATGCTCACCCCTTCTGAGTGGCCCCTCAGGGCTGAAAGGGCAGAAGGGGGCTGAAGGGGGCTGATACCCCCCTCCTGGAGAAAATTTCTCCACACTCCTGGTTGTGTTGCAAGGTCACTCACCTGGTTGTGTTTCAAGGTCACTCACCTGGTTGTGTTGCAAGGTCACTCGCCTGGGTGTGTTGCGAGGTCACTCACCTGGTTGTGTTGCAAGGTCACTCACCTGGTTGTGTTGCGAGGTCACTCACCTGGTTGTGTTTCAAGGTCATTCACCTGGTTGTATTTCAAGGTCACTCACCTGGTTTGTTTCAAGGTCACTCGCCTGGTTGTGTTGCGAGGTCACTCACCTGGTTGTGTTGCAAGGTCACTCACCTGGTTGTGTTGCGAGATCACTCACCTGGTTGTGTTGCGATGTCACCTGGTTGTGTTGCGAGGTCACTCACCTGGTTGTGTTGCGAGGCCACTCACCTGGTTGTGTTGCGAAGCCACTCACCTGGTTGTGTTGCGAAACCACTCACCTGGTTGTGTTGCGAGGTCACTCACCTGGTTGTGTTGCAAGGTCACTCACCTGGTTGTGTTGCAAGGTCACTCACCTGGTTGTGCTGCGAGGTCACTCACCTGGTTGTGTTGCGAGGTCACTCACCTAGTTGTGTTGCAAGGTCACTCACCTGGTTGTGTTGCAAGGTCACTCAACTGATTGTGTTGCGAGGTCACTCACCTGGTTGTGTTGCGATGTCACTCACCTAGTTGTGTTGCGAGGCCACTCATCTGGTTGTGTTGCGAGGCCACTCACCTGGCTGTGTTGCAAGGTCACTCACCTGGCTGTGTTGCAAGGTCACTCACCGGGTAGTGTTGCAAGATCACTCACCTGATTGTGTTGCAAGGTGACTCACCTGGTTGTGTTGCGAGATTAATCACCTGGTTGTGTTGCGAGATCACTCACCTGGTTGTGTTGCAAGGTGATTCACCTGGTTGTGTTGCGAGGTCGCTCACCTGGTTGTGTTGCAAAGTGACTCACCTGATTGTGTTGCGAGATCACTTACCTGGTTGTGTTGCAAAGTGACTCACCTGGTTGTGTTGCGAGATCACTCACCTGGTTGTGTTGCAAAGTGACTCACCTGGTTGTGTTGCGAGGTCACTCACCTGGTTGTGTTGCAAGGTCACTCACCTGGTTGTGTTGCGAGGTCACTCACCTGGTTGTGTTTCAAGGTCATTCACCTGGTTGTATTTCAAGGTCACTCACCTGGTTTGTTTCAAGGTCACTCACCTGGTTGTGCTGCGAGGTCACTCACCTGGTTGTGTTGCGAGGTCACTCACCTGGTTGTGTTGCGAGACCACTCACCTGGTTGTGTTGCGAGGCCACTCACCTGGTTGTGTTGCGAAACCACTCACCTGGTTGTGTTGCGAGGTCACTCACCTAGTTGTGTTGCAAGGTCACTCACCTGGTTGTGTTGCAAGGTCACTCAACTGGTTGTGTTGCGAGGTCACTCACCTGGTTGTGTTGCGATGTCACCTGGTTGTGTTGCGAGGCCACTCACCTGGTTGTGTTGCGAGGCCACTCATCTGGTTGTGTTGCGAGGCCACTCACCTGGTTGTGTTGCGAGGCCACTCATCTGGTTGTGTTGCGAGGCCACTCACCTGGTTGTGTTGCGAAACCACTCACCTGGTTGTGTTGCAAGGTCACTCACCTGGTAGTGTTGCGAGACCACTCACCTGGCTGTGTTGCAAGGTCAATCACCGGGTAGTGTTGCAAGATCACTCACCTGATTGTGTTACAAGGTGACTCACCTGGTTGTGTTGCGAGATTAATCACCTGGTTGTGTTGCGAGATCACTCACCTGGTTGTGTTGCAAGGTGATTCACCTGGTTGTGTTGCGAGGTCGCTCACCTGGTTGTGTTGCAAAGTGACTCACCTGATTGTGTTGCGAGATCACTCACCTGGTTGTGTTGCAAAGTGACTCACCTGGTTGTGTTGCAAAGTGACTCACCTGGTTGTGTTGCGAGATCACTCACCTGGTTGTGTTGCGAGATCACTCACCTGGTTGTGTTGTAAGGTCACTCACCTGGTTGTGTTGCAAGGTCACTCACCTGGTTGTGTTGTAAGGTCACTCACCTGGTTGTGTTGCAAGGTCACTCACATGGTTGTGTTGTAAGGTCACTCACCTGGTTGTGTTGCAAGGTCACTCACCTGGTTGTGTTGTAAGGTCACTCACCTGGTTGTGTTGCGAGATCACTCACCTGGTTGTGTTGTAAGGTCACTCACCTGGTTGTGTTGTAAGGTCACTCACCTGGTTGTGTTGTAAGGTCACTCACCTGGTTGTGTTGCGAGGTCACTCACCTGGTTGTGTTGTAAGGTCACTCACCTGGTTGTGTTGCAAGGTCACTCACCTGGTTGTGTTGCGAGATCACTCACCTCTTTGTGTTGCGAGGTCACTCACCTGGTTGTGTTGCGAGATCACTCACCTGGTTGTGTTGCGAGATCACTCACCTGGTTGTGTTACGAGGCGACTCACCTGGTTGTGTTGCGAGATCACTCACCTGGTTGTGTTGCGAGATCACTCACCTGGTTGTGTTGCGAGGTGACTCACCTGGTTGTGTTGCGAGATCACTCACCTGGTTGTGTTGCGAGATCACTCACCTGGTTGTGTTGCGAGGTGACTCACCTGGTTATGTTGCGAGATCACTCACCTGGTTGTGTTGCGAGATCACTCACCTGGTTGGGTTGCGAGGTCTCACTCTCAGAGCAGGCCAGGCCCAGGCTGTGTGACCGAGCGTCGTGCTGACGTACCCTGAGGGGCATGGACGGCGTTAAACTGCCGGGCAGGACACCGCTGGGCACGCTACCTTGGTCCCCAGACTCACCTCCAGTGGTGATGACTACCCCACTGGTGTCTGCAGAGAGAGAGAGAGAGAGAGAGAGAGAGAGAGAGAGAGAGAGAGAGAGAGAGAGAGAGAGAGAGAGAGAGAGAGAGAGAGAAATAGATATTAATACTATAACCAACTCCTAAATCTTTCTGTTTTCTACTTGTATGTATCAACGTTCTTACAGATCGCAAAATGTTAAGAAAAAACTCATCTTTGTTGAAGAGTTTCGAGACTGGATGTTCATCGCTGAATGACCCATACGGGTTTAGCACCCACTTTTTTTTTAAATAAAAATATTTATAATCAAAACGAAAACTCTGACGAGAGAAAATGGTAGATGTATGAAGAAGCATGTGTTTGGTAGATGTATGAACAATCATGTGTCTGGTAGATGTATGAACAATCATGTGTCTGGTAGATGTATGAACAATCATGTGTCTGGTAGATGTATGAACAATCATATGTCTGGTAGATGTATGAACAATCATGCGTCTGGTAGATGTATGAACAATCATGTGTCTGGTAGATGTATGAACAAGTATATGTCTGGTAGAAGACTAAACACAGAAGGGACGTCAGAAGAGGTAACACAAGAAGTGTCGTGGTCCGTCATGTAAAAGTCGGTTCCGACGCTTTACCACACAAGTTGACAGGTAAATTCTCACAGCAAATACTGGCATCCGTTATTCACGAAATGCATGTGGAGGTATGCATACATTTATGTATAAGCACGTATCCCAGAGCCTTCTTCTAAATTTCATAATAGTTCCTGTCCTTGTATCATTTCGATTCCTTGGAGAAGTGTGTTAGAATCCTTCCTCCGTAAGTTTTGCGTGTCGTAGAAGTCGAGTGAAGTCCCGAGAGCAAGGAAACAATAACCCGTCCTTCTACATAAATTATTAAGGAGAGAAAGAAGAAAATGATAAAGCTGAGATGTTAGAATATGCATGAGTGTAGTACTTATGAGTAGAACTTATTTTTTAGTTACGGAAAGAAGCACTAAGAGGAGCAAAGATAAAGAGGGGAGAGAGAGAAATTAATTGTAGAGGGTTAAATGGGGTGAAAGTGAGTGTATCTAAGTGAACTACAACTGAAGGGGTACTGTGATATTAAACTTTTAACTGTAGAAAAGAAAGAAGGGATATAAGTGTTTAAATTCAAGAATCATATGATTTAAAGTAGAAGCGGGATGTGTGATGTGGGTTGCAGTATATATATATATAATAATATATATATATATATATATATATATATATATATATATATAATATATATATATATATATATATATATATATATATAAAATATGTCGTGCCGAATAGGCAGAACTTGCTATCTTGGATTAAATAGCAACGCTCATCTTGCCATATAGGACAAGTGAAAATTTGTGTATGCAATAATTTCGCCAAAATCATTCTGAACCTAACGAAAAAAATGTATTTGATTGTGTTTGTTTAGTATTAAATTACTGTAAACGTATTTAAAATATATTTAGTTGTGTTAGGCTAAAATAAATTGCTCTTGTTATAATAAGGTTAGGTAAGTTTTCTAAGATTCTTTTGGTGCAAAATTAAAATTTTTTACATTAACATTAATGAAAAAAATATATCTTTAAACGTATAAGAGAAAATTTTAGAAAAGACTTTATTTTAAATGAGTTCTTGCTAATTGACCAGTTTTACATATTCGGCACGACATATATATATATATATATATATATATATATATATATATATATATATATATATATATATATATATATATATATATATATATATATATATATATATATATGCAACTGTGATAAGAAGAGAGTAGGGGGTGGGAGAGACAGAGAGATTTTGGGAGGTGCTCATCGAATATTTACGTAGTTCTGAAGCAAATAAGAGGACAATTGTTGTGGGCGATTTAAAACGGTGAAGTGGGAGAGACTGTGGTAGAGGGCAGGGAAGGTCAGCTGGGAGTGCCATGGGTGGTTTGTTAATGAGCGACCTCTAATTAAATTATTGTAAGAAATTTGTTAATAGGTAATAGCAGTTTCCTAGATTATGTTTTCGTGGGTAAAAGGTTGATGGGCAGACTTCCGGATGCGCATGTTCCGGGGTGGATAGTTTCTCCTTGCAGACAGAAACACGAATGAATGAGATACTTGTGCAACACTTTGGTATCTTCACTGTGGAAACATTTTGCCAACCAGTGTCTTCCTCAGCCAGTCAACCAGCTGGCGAAACGTCTCCACAATAAAGATACCCAAGGGTTGCACAAGTGTTCCAAAAGTGTCTTATTTATCAACTTGTCGGTTTCCTGAACCATTTGTCTAACAAAAACAGGAATGTATCAGAGTATAGTGGCACCAGCATTTTTAATAGTTAGTAAAGCATGGGTTTTAAACATTATAGCAAGGAGGAGGCGGAGTTAGTGGAGATGTTACGTTTGAAAGCAATGTGTCGTGTGACTATTATGCGAAGAATTCGGACCGCAAAAAATTACACGAGTGTTGGGTTACCCAAGTTATTATTCAGATGACTAAGGAGAGGTTGAAGAAGCGGTCTAGTCATTTAGTAGAGAAGAGGGAGACAAGAGGATGACCAAGAGGGTGTATAAAGCTGGGGTGGAATGAGCATGGGGGTAGGGGGAGTTGTCCTAGGAAGGGTTGGAGGGTGTGAAGGAGGTATTAAGTGATAAGGGATCGAGCCTCCAGCAGGCGTATGTGAACCATCCTGTGGCCAGTCCTTTCCAGCCATCTTGTGACCCGGCATCTTGAAGCATCTTTTGGCCTGATATCTTCAGCCATCTTCTGCCCAAGCATCTTCTGCCCAAGCATCTTCTGCCCAAGCATCTTCTGCCCAAGCATCTTCTGCCCAAGCATCTTCTGCCCAAGCATCTTCTGCCCAAGCATCTTCTGCCCAAGCATCTTCTGCCCAAGCATCTTCTGCCCAAGCATCTTCTGCCCAAGCATCTTCTGCCCAAGCATCTTCTGCCCAAGCATCTTCTGCCCAAGCATCTGCCCAAGCATCTTCTGCCCAAGCATCTTCTGCCCAAGCATCTTCTGCCCAAGCATCTTCTGCCCAAGCATCTTCTGCCATCTTCTGGCTAGAAATCTTTCAGTCATCTGACGAGCTATTTTTCAGTTAGTCATCTTACACGTTTAGCAGACATATTCTCCTATTTTCTCCTCAGTTAAACTCGAAAAAAAATATGAAAAATACAAAATAATGTTCTAGATATTACCACGAGTAACAGTCATCAGCAACACAATATTGATATAAAATGTAGCTCTCTCTCTCTCTCTCTCTCTCTCTCTCTCTCTCTCTCTCTCTCTCTCTCTCTCTCTCTCTCTCTCTCTCTCTCTCTCTCAGAACTTAAACAAACTAATTCAAAGTAGATGAAGCTGCATAGATTCTTCTAATTCAATTTTTTATTTGTGGTCTCGGGGGCTAATAATGGCACCCAGCACAATCCACAATCAGGGCTGCAATGGAATATACTAAGAAAAAGCTGGAACCCAAACACAACCACAATCCCAACAATAAGGAACCCAAACACCTCTCCTTCCTACTGGGAACCATTAGCCTCGCCCATTAACCACTTTGGCAGCCTCCTTAACTTTATTAAGGGACTTCCTTCTCTGAGACAAAAAACTAAGTAGACTTGATGTTACCTCCTCTATGACACAGGTGCCCGCCACACAAGCCACTGACATACTCCGGCGCTAGGGCAAGCAGGACCTTAATCTTGCACCGCTTTTATGACATGTCTGAGCTGTCCATACACTGTAACTGTTTCTCTTTCTATAACAATTTCTACAGTCATAGATATGGAATGACCACGGGTACCCCTTATTAGTGTTGTCTTGGCAACCATATCCGTGGAACACCTGGAAACTGAATGCTTCGCCAGAATTATCCCCAACAATGTCACACGGGTGCAATTCTTGGTGGACACCATTCTAATAAGCACGATTTGTCATCCATAATTTGTATAGAAGACTCAACGAAATTAACCTGTAACCCAGTTCGCACTTGGAGAAACCAATGACTGTTACTACTCCTTGATGTCCTCATCCACAAAGTAGAAGACTCCAAGTCTACAGAAAACCTACAAACAAAAATGATCTTACACACTTCTACTCCGGTCAAGAAACTCAGACTAAGTGAGGCAACATTTTTGGCTTCTTCTTGAAAGCATATTGCTCATACAGCCCAAGTTACTACATGAGCAGTGCTGCTGCATACAAGCCTTCACAGAGCTCCACCTTATTTCTTCTTCACCAAAGACTGCAAGAAATGAACCTTTCACGTCATCAACTCTCTCTTCGTATTAATACCATTTTGAACAAAGTTATCATCATTCACAACAGCCAAGTTGCCCTGAACATCTCCAGGCAACTCCAGAATCACCCTAGCAACCAGCATATTCATCAAAGACCTCACCAGCGTCAAAAAGATCGTTGAGCCAGTTAGTGCAGGGGTATACATTATCCGGCATGGAGACTGATAAGGTATACTTCTATGAAACAACTAGAAGCTGAGGAATCCTTCTGAATAAACACATCTACGTATGCAGATGCAACGCGAACACATGAGTACAACAACTGAACACCACCAGACCCTTGATGGAATGGGACAACACTCGCTTAGTGATTAAGGAATTAGACGCAAACAGTTGATGGTATCTAGAAGCAGATTAATCTCCACTGAAGATGCATTTAAGACAGCTTCAAAAATTCTGAAATAGCAAGAATTCCCTTGACAACGATAGATTCTGCCGTCACCAGACAAGTCACTTCTACTACTACTACTACTACTACTACTACAATTACTACTACCTCTGCTACTGTTACTACTCTCTATCCTTATATTGCTGGTATTGGTTTGATAAAGCTACCGAAGGGCGAAACGTTGCAGCACGAAATGTATTATTAGTTGCTCTTGTGTCCATTTATCTACCAAGTAGAAACCTAACACAGCAAGTACCAAAACAAGAAGACATAAAAAAACCGCAACCCAGAAAAATAAAACCCATGA